TATATATTTATCTGTCTATAAATCTCTCTCTATCCCTCACTCTCTTTATATATATATATATATATATATATATATATATATATATATATATATATATATATATATAATATATATATATATATATATATATATATATATATATATATATATATATATATATATATATATACATTATATATATATATTTATGTGTGTGTGTTTATTTAATGTTGTGTGTGTGTGTGTGTGTGTGTGTGTGTGTGTGTGTGTGTGTGTGTGTGTGTGTGTGTGTGTGTGTGTGTGTGTGTGTGTGTGTGTGTGTGCCTCTCTTTCTCCCCTTCCTTTTCTCTCTTTCACCACGATGAATGTCACAATTACATGGCTATAGCGCAAGTTCTTAGGGTATTCACAGAATTTGTACCTTCTTTACATTTCCTTGTTATATTTATTTCTGAAGCCGAGTCCTCACACCTCTCCCCTCTCATCTTGTCTTTCCTACACTTTCACCTCCTTTCTCGCTTGCTTTATCCTCTCTTTCTCCTGTCTCCATTTCTTTCCTTTTCCGTCATTCCGTATGAGAACACGGTTCTTTCCTCCAAGGCTAACTAAAAGAGGGAGAGATAAAGAAAGGGAGAAAGAGGGGGGTGAAGGGAGAGAGGGAGTACAGGAGTATGGGAGAGAGAAAAGGGAGGGGGGGAGAGAGAGAGACAGAGAGGAGAGACGTGGAGATCGATAGAAAAATAAGCACACAGAAAATATGACGCAGGAGACGAAGGACAGAATTGATAAGAAGGAAAGTGCGGATTTTAGAGCAGGCTTTTGGGAAGGGGGAAGCCGAGACAGACAGGAAAGTAACATTAAAAAGAAGAGACAAAGAGGAAAACAGAGTGTGGGGACAATAAAAAAGAGATAGGGGAAATCAGAACACAAAAATAACAACCTAAAGGAAGAAGTGAAGAGGAGGAAACATCAAAATGAAGTCGAAAACTGACACAGAAGAGAACAAGCACAAGGACATACTGGATTAGGTAAGATCGTTCTTCCTCCGCCACCGCCCCTTCGGTACCCTCCCCCCCTCCATCCCATCCCTTTCTTTCCAACCTCCTCTTTCTCCCTTTTATCCTCGTTTCCTGCCCTTCCTTTTCTATTACAGCAACACATGTCGTGGCTCCAATAGGTAACCAGCACAGTCCTGAATCCATCAATGTCTTCTCTGGCTTCTGCGTTTGTATGTGTGCTCGTGTCTCCCTGAACATCCGAGAAGAACGACCATCTGGCAGGCGTCGGGCAGGCGTCGGGCTTGTATATAAGAATATCTGTTGCCCTGTTCACCCGCCTTGCCTCTTTCTGCGTCAGATAACGGGCTCTGACAGCGCGTCGCTTACATAAGAGTCCTTTAATCACTTCTTAATGTAGGATGGCGTTGGTTGGGCTTTGTGGAGGCGACGGCGCCTACATTAATCAAAATAACTTATAATTGAATGTTCTATCATCATAATGTTATTACTATGGTAACAATAATTACAATAGTAATAATAATAATAGTATTAATGATAATAATAATAATGATAATAATAATAATAATAATAATAATAATAAACGATAATGAAAATGGTAATTATAATAATAATGATAATGATAATAATAATAATAATAATAATAATAATAATAATAATAATAATAATTAATAATAATAAAAAATTCCCCGAGGCCTTGAAATACCGGGTTGGCGTCCGGCGGGGGCTAGTCTGTCTCATGGGTAGGGGGGACTCTTTAGTCTTGGTTGACAGCCCTCCTAGAGTTGGTGTCTCGATAAAAACACCGGTGGTTGTGACACCTATCACCACAAACCTCATCATGAGTGAAAATGAACCAAAACAGAAATGTAGATAACGACGTGAATGGCACTGGAACTTCAGGTGAAGGTGCCTCGTCTGGCAGGTGTTCTGTGGATGAGCAGCGCAGACCCGGTCGTAACCAAGCGACTGCCAGAATGAAGTGGACGAAAGAAATGAATATTGTCGTCATGGAATGTTTTTATAGTGCTGATCCATTTGATGAGAATGGTGTGCCAATAAGGGGATATCGGCAGCGGATGTATAGAGAATGGCGAGAAAGGGGAATGTTTAACACCAGTGAACACTGTGTGACCAGGCCAGAGCTATCAGAAAAAATGGTTGGTTGTCGGAGGTGGAATTAGAGGCCATAAGGAGAAGATTGGTAAAACAGAGTGAAGAAAAACATCAGCAAGACGAGAAAGATATATTATCAAGATCGAATATTGAGGAGGTCAATGAGGCTGACATTACAATTGAAGTTAGTGAGGCAGCAGAAATAACACCTGAGGAGCAATTGATCATTGATGAAGTAAAAGGATTGATGGCACAAGGAGTAACAAATGATAACATCATGTTTAAGAAAGTTGATCAGAAGAGATTAAGTGAAGAAACACTTAAAGTGAATGGAGCCATTAAACACCTTATGACAGCAGATATCACCCAGACTAATAACCTCATTAAAGCAGCTAGTCTTTGGGTTGCCAAACAGCTAGGATTGAAGACAGTCAAGAAGGAGAAGAAACAGGACCCATGGTGGAAGCGACGTATAGAAGGAGACATAAAGAATTTGAAGAAAGATCAGCATACTTGAAAGAGAAAAAAGAGGTGAGACTGGTATGAGAGGGAAAAGGAAGGTCAAGAATTTAGGGGATAAGTATGGAATTAAAAGGAAAGGTCTCACAACTGTAATAGAAGAACTGAAGCAAAGGTTATTAGCAAAAGCTGCAAAGATAAAGAGGTATGGAGATAGAATAACACAATACAGACAGAATCGAATGTTTGCAACGGAGCAGAAAAAAGTGTATAAGGAACTGGATGGAGGAGCTAGTGGCGAGAGTGTAATACCGGATGCTGAAGAGAGTAAGAAGTTTTGGAGTGAGATCTGGAGCATAGAAAAAGAACATAATAGACAAGTAAAATGGTTGCAGGATCTGAAAAGAGAACAAAGTAACGTAAATATGGGAGATATGGAGATCACAGTAGAGATGGTTAAAACACAGAGTAGAAAGATCCCTAATTGGAAGGCCCTAATTGGATCAAGCAATTGTCGTCATTGCACGAGAGAATTGCAAATCAGCTGAATGAAATTATAAGTGGTGCAAACAGGTTGCCTGAGTGGATGGTATATGGGAGAACTGTTCTATGCCAGAAGGATCCGGCTAAGGGCAGAGCAGTTGATAATTTTAGACCCATATCCTGCCTACCCTTAATGTGGAAGTTACTGACGGGCATGATTGCAGAAGAGATGTATGGCTTCTTGGAAAGGGAGAAAATATTACCAGATGAGCAGAAGGGATGTCGGAAGGGGAGTCGTGGAACAAAGGATCAACTATTGATCGACAAAACAGTGCTAAAAGATTGTAAAAGCAGAAAGACTAATCTAGCTATGGCCTGGATTGATTACAAAAAGGCGTACGACATGGTGCCCCATAGCTGGATTATTGAGTGCCTGGAGTTGTTTGGGATAGCAGAGAATGTTAGAAAATTCATGAGTGATAGTATGCGATCATGGAAGCTGGAACTGACATCTGGTGAAAGCTTGGGAGATGTGCATATTCACAGAGGAATTTTCCAGGGGGACAGCCTATCTCCACTACTGTTCGCGTTATGCATGATTCCACAGACGTTGATCTTGAGGAAAGTAGCAGCTTCTTATGAATGGGGTAACAAGGAATTCAGAATTAATCATCTATTATTCATGGACGATCTCAAGTTATTTGCCAAGAATCAGGACCAAATAGATTCACTAGCACAAACTGTGCATCTCTTCAGCGAGGACATTGGGATGCAATTCGGATTAAACAAGTGTGGTGTGTTGGTACTGAAGAGAGGGAAAATTGTGAAGCAAAATGGTGTTGCACTTCCGAATGGGCAAATGATGAAAGAAATCGACGAAAGTGGATACAAATACCTGGGTATTGTAGAAATGGATAAGATCAAAGAAACAGACATGAAAGAAAAGTTTACAAGCGAATACAAAAGAAGGTTAAAGTTTTTTTTGAAATCAAAATTGAATGGTAAGAATAAGATCTTAGCAATTAACACATGGGCTGTATCAGTCTTGAGGTATGGGGCAGGTATCTTGAAATGGACAGTAGACGAGTTAAAAAACATGGATAGGAAATCGAGGAAGATTATGACAATGCACGGTGCAGTTCACCCTAAGAGTGATGCAGACAGGTTATATTTGACTAGAGAGAAAGGAGGGCGTGGACTGATTAGCTGCGAGGGTTGCGTTCGAAGTGAGGAGAATAATTTGGGATGGTATGTCCGGAATTCCGTTGAATCATTGATTCGAGGTGTTAGGCTTGCTAAAGTGGTGGACACTGAAGATGTTGTTAGTAAGGATGAGTTCAAAAGGAGATGGATGAATGAAAAAGAACAAAGATGGAGGGAAAAAAGAATGTACGGGCAGTTTGTTAGAGGGATGCCGGAATCAACGGATGAAAAGAAGACATGGGAATGGCTGAGAAAAGCTGATCTTAAAATACAGCGCAAGAACAGGCTCTCCGAACAAACTATGTTAAACACCATATTGACAAATCAGCAGAGTCACTACTTTGTAGGATGTGTGAAGAGAAGGGCGAAACTGTACATCACATTGTCAGTGAGTGCAAGAAGATGGCACAGAAAGAATACAAACGACGGCACGACAACGTTGCGAGGATTGTGCATTGGCATTTATGCAAGAAATACAATCTAGAAAGGACGGAAAAATGGTATGAACATGCCCCCGAGGGTGTAGTTGAAAATGACGAGGTAAAGCTACTATGGGACGTGAATATTCAGTGTGATCATTTAATTGAAGCAAGAAGACCAGACATAGTAGTTGTAAGCAAAGGTGAAAGAAAATGCAGCATTATTGACATTGCGGTGCCAGGTGATAGCAGGACTAGTGACAAAGAAAAAGAGAAAGTGGAGAAATATCAAGATTTGAAAAGGGAAATCAAGAGGATTTGGAACATGAGAAGTGTGATAGTTGTACCTGTGATTGTTGGATCACTCGGCAGTGTAACGAAGAAACTGGATGATTGGTTAGAAAAACTGGATATCACAGTAAATACAGCACTCTTACAGAAGACGACATTATTAGGAACAGCCAGGATATTAAGAAAAGTACTTGAGTACTAAAGGACAATGACTCCAAGGGACCCTTGGTCTAGGGTTTTGACCCGCTCCCGTGGGATGTAAAATTCGGCTATTAGAACTGCCAGTGCTTAAAGCAGAAGTATATGATAATAATAATAATTATAATAATGATAATGATAATGATGAAAATAATAATAATAACAATAATAATAATAATAATAATAATAATAATAACAATAACAACAATAATAATAATAATAATAATAATAATAATAATAATTATAGTAATAATAATAATAATAATAATAATAATAATAGTAATAATAATAATAATAATGATAATAATAATAATAACAGCAATAATCATAATGATATCAATAATCAATGATCATCATATCAATAATCATGATTATAATAATAATTATTATTATTATTATTATTATAGTTATTATTGTTATTATCATTATTATTACTAGTAGTAGTAGTAGTAGTACTATTATTATAATTACATTATGATTATTATATATTTTCATTATTATTATTATATATTTTCATTATTTGTTACTGTCATCTTTACTATTATCATGATCATTATCATAACTCTGATTGTTATTATTTGTTATTATGAGTATCATCATTATTGTTGTTATTATTAGTATCATTATAATTGTTATTATTAGTATCATTATAATTATTATTATTATCATCATTATTATCATTATCATCGTTATTATTACTAGTAGTAGTAGTAGTAGTAGTAGTAGTAGTAGAAGTAGTGATATCATTTTATTCTTATTTTTATTATCATTATTATTATTGTTGTTGTAATCATTATTACCATTATCATTATATATAATATTGTTTTTACTACTATCATCATTATTATTATCATTTTATTGTTATCATTAATATTATTGTTCTTCTTATTATCCCTATCATTTTTATCATCATTATTATTACTACTCCTTTTATAATTCTCACTGCATTCATTATCATCATTGTTGTTTTTATTACTTTTGTTCTCATTATTATCATTTTCATTATTACTATCGTCATTATTACAATAATCATTATTGTTATTATTGCCATTGTAATTATTGTGATTATTGCTAATGCTATCATTATTGCTGTTGTTATTATTGTTACCTTTTTATAATCATTATTATTATCATTATCATAAATAATAATAATGGTAATGACTATAATAGTGATAATAATAGTAATAATAATAATGATAATAATAATAATAGTAATAAAAATAATAGTAATAATGATAATAATAATAATAATAATAACAATAATAATAATAATAATAATAATAATAATAATAATTATAATAAGAAAATGATAGTAATAATAATAAAAAAATAAATAAATAAATAATAATAATAATAATGATAATAATAATAATAATAATAATAATAATAATAATAATAATAATAATAATAATAATAATAATAGTAATAAAAATAATAGTAATAATGATAATAATAATAATAATAATAATAATAATAATAATAATAATAATAATAATAATAATAATAATAATAATAATAATAACAATAATAATAATAACAATAATAATAATAATAATAATAATAATAATCTGTCCTGGGTATGACTTTAAACTGCATCCGGTTGTTACGCGGGATAATGAGGTTACCCTTTGCCATAACTATCTCCGGGTCACCCATGAGCAAGGCGTAATACCTGTCAGCTCTCCCCGAGACCGTGAAATACCGGGTGGGCATTCAGCGGGGGCTAGTCATTCTTAAACGTGGGGGGGACTCTTCAGTCTTGGTTGGCAACCCTCCTAGTGATGGTGCCATGATAGAAATACTAGTTAGCTGTTGACTGTTGTAAAATGTAACTCACACAAAATGTTTTCTTATCAGAATAAGGTAAACGACGTGAACGGGACTGGAACTGGTAACAGTGAAAACGTCCGGCAGGTATTCCGTGGGTGAGCAGCATGGAGCCGGTCGTTGACAAGCTACTCCTAAAAAGAAATGGACAAAAGAGGAAAACGAACAAACCATAATATGTTATCTAAAAGCTCAGACAGTGGATAGTTAAAACCCAAAATGCTACAGGAAAGTTTAGATAAACAACAAATGCCTAGGGAAATCATATGGAAGAAAGAGAAGTCGAAATAGAGCAAATTGAATCCAATGTGAGAGGTAGTCAGATTGAAATTGAGTTTGCAGAGCTCAGGCAAGAAGACATTGAATTAGTAATGTAAGGTGGCTTCCCACAGCCTGCCATCTCCCTTCCTCTCGCGGGCCCTGACATCTCGCAGCCCGGTCAACGCTTGCTGCAATCGGCCTCTCTGTCTATATGTACATACGTTCACTTATTTCTGTTTTATTGTTCCACTTTACTTTGGTTCCTATGTGTCACTTCTGTTTGCCCTTTGACCCCGTCCTCTCTTCTGCGATTCCTTTATACGCAAATTATTTCTCGCTTCTTCTGTGAGCTTCACGATTACTTGTATCATTTTAAATTATCTTCGATTTTTTTTTATCTCATCTTTTTATCACTTTTTTCTTTTTAAGAGGGATCTGTTTTAACGTCATATTTTATCCACTGTACTTCATTCTGTCTACTTCACCTTAAGTGTGTATTTTTTATGTTTTATCTTGCTATGAAGCTCATTTTATTTATGATTTTAGTATCTTTCTTAATGATTTTTGTACAAACATTATTTTCCGAACGATGTTTGGCGTGGATTGTGACGTCACGAACTTTATAAACATAAGCCGCGTTGAGCGGAAATAGATTCATTCTCCTCGAAATAACGGCGTTTTGCTCTCCTCCTGGGTGATTGTTTCCTTACTGAACAGAAGGTGGAAAACTCAGCACGTCTGGACATCACATTACACGGGAAAAATACAAGTTGTTTTCCTGGTTGTTTCCTTTGTGCATAGCAGCTGGACGTGAATCTTAGTTTTAAATATTTAATTTAAACCACTTTTATAGATTCTACATACTATACTAAGCTTGTGAATGTTACTGGATATAACGAACCTTTTTAAATTGTTTTATTCGATTTAAATAAGTTATTGAACATCATTCCCATACGATAAGTGCCATTTGGTTTCCATTCAAGCTACCACTCCTTGGGAATCAACTTGACAATGAAACCATTACAAACAGATTAATATTGACTACGGAGCCACAATTTCCCACCACAGTAAGCAGAATGAAGGAAATTCTCCAATCAGATGTCGACCATGCACCATCATCGGGAGCAATCAACAGTGAAAATTAAGGAAATTCTGGTAATATAAGATTGAACAACACTAATGACATGCATGATGTGATCAAAGCTGTAGTTATACTTACCAGTGAAAGAGTTGGTGTAAAGAGAAAGAGAGAACAAAAGAGGCGTATTAAAAATGATATTGGCAAACTCAGGAAAGACCTCAGCCGTACTGAAACATGGTTCAAAGGAAACTGGATAAATGGTAAACAACAGGAAAAGCTTGATATGAAAAAAAAAAAAAAAATAGCCTTAAAGCCAAAGGATTTAAGACTATGGAAGAAAAGAAGCAGAGAATATCTGCCATGGAAAAAAATATATCGTCTCGACAGAATAGATTATTTAGAAATTATAAAAAGGTGTTGTAAGCCTTGGTAGGGAGAGGAAAAGTGAACTAGTAGCGCCTGATGCAGAGGCATCTAGAGAGTTTCCAAGCAACTTATGGGACAATCCAACTCAGCTAAATGAAAGTGCAGAATGGCTAAAGCAAGTTGAACAGGAAATGAAATGGCTGCATTTTTTTTTTTTTTTTTTTTTTTTTTTTTAACATCAGGAAAATACCCAACTGAAAGTCCCTCGGTTTGGATGGAAATCAAGGTTTTTGGTTGCAAAGGCTCACTAGCCTGCATTAAATGATAGCCTGACAACTTAATCAATGCTTGGTGACTGGAAAGATACCCTCCTGGAGGCAATGCGGTTGGAAACTACTGACCAACTTACTGTGAAAGCTCATTACCACAGTAGTCTCTGAAAAATTGTATGTACATCTAAATAATCAGGATCTGCTGTCAAAGGAACAAAAGGGCTGTAGAAAGTGATCCCGTGGAACAAAATACCAGTTACTTATTGACAAGGCGGTAGTTCACAACTGCAAAAGACGTAAAAGTAACTTAACCATGGCCTGGATCGATTTTCGGTAGGCCTAGGTTACGCAGACGAACACCAAGAAGCTACAAAGAAAGTCAAGAAAGCACTTCATAAGGAGATTACAAGACAGTCAACAAGAACATCAAGAAGGTAAGCGGAAGGAAGATAAGCAAGCCGGGAATCGCTATCAAAGATGCTGATGGCACAATGATATATGACAAAAAAGACATCACGAAAAGATGGAAGGACTACTGTGCTGAACTATTTGGCAGGGAAGAGCATGGACAGGAGGAGATAGAGAGAGGTGAGGAAAAGCCACTGGTCTTGGAAGCCGATATTGAAGCTGCAATCAAAAAGGCAAAGAAAGGAAAGGCGTTCGGAATAGACGAAGTTCCAGCGGAAGCTTTGAAAGCAGGAGGGGAAACAAGTCATCAAAGCCATGAAGAGCATCATTGACAAGATCTGGAGAACAGGAGAGTGGCCGGAACTATGGGTGATATCTGAACTTGTTCCCTTACCTAAAGTCCCTGGAACCCAAGATTGCACTAAATACCGAACAGTGAGCCTAATAACCCATGCCTCAAGGATACTGCTTGAAATTCTGCGACAAAGGCTGGCACATTATTTGGTTCCACAAATCGCAGAAGAGCAATTTGGCTTCACTGCAGGAAAAGGGACAACAGAGGCAATCCTAGTGTTGAGGAACATCATACAGAAGGTAGCAAAGAAGCAAGAGGCTGACCAA